AAGTTGCATCTATTTGATATAAGCAAAAAAGAATTTAAAGATTAATTTTCAAAATAATTATCCAAAATCAAAATATCTTCTTTGGGTGAGGCTGTTAGCTTAACTCTCCACACTGTGGGTTCATTTAACTGTGCTGTTAAAACTTGCAACCTCTGAGGTGAGTAGTCTTATTATCCACATTTTGCAGGTGAGGAAACTCATGCACAATAAGGTTAAGTAATAACATAAAGTCACACAGTACAGGAGTACTAAACCTGAGATTCAAACTCCCATGTCTGGCTCTAGAGTCTGTGCTCTGAAATCTTACCTTAAAATGCCTTTACTAAACCGCTAAGCACTTAGTAATGTGCCTGACAGAGTGTAAGTTATAGAAGTATAAGCTATTACCAGAAGAAATAAAATATGTATTTAAATAAACCAGGATATGTATAATTATGATATAACATGATAACTGCATATATCATACAGATATCTATATACCTATACATATATAAGATGACAAATAAAGCAATTTGTAATACTAGTAAACTGAAAGTTATGTCTTAGATGAGGAACATACTGCTTATGTTGAGATGGAATAATAAGGAATAAATGACTTCCTTTTTGTTTATCCACTAAAATTTAAAATTTACCTTTTTATAATGGATATGGGTCAAAGTGAAGTTGTGTTGACATGGACTGGTATATATAAGTAACCATTATTGGACTTCTCAAATATTGATGATAAGAAGGAAAGATGTGAATCAAATAGAGTATTTCCTAGCCATAGACATGAATGTTTTAATAACTTAATTTAACACAATTTATTATCTTGCACTCCAACACTTAGATCTATTTATAGAGATAAAAAAAAAGTTCTACAGCTCTGGATCTAATTTAAGGCATATTAAAATTCTTAATGTTTTAAAATCTTCAGAGAAATAAAGCAGCCTCCTTTATTGAAATAAAATACTAAATCTCTGAAGATTTGAATCAGGTAATGTTTTAATTTTAATGAAATTGGCCTTTGTCTCTGAAAGGGACAAAATAAACAGATTGGCTAGTTCCTGAACTCAGAAACATCCAGAAATATTTCTCAATCCATGCGGAGATCTTAGGAAAGGAAAGCATCCTTGGCAGCTAGTGTTGTAGTAAGTGAGCAGCTCTAAGTAGGAGAACATAAAGGCAAAAGGAGCAGTTGAAAAGGAGAGCATCAGAACTGCTCTCAATGAAGAATCTCTTTCCTGGTTCATAATTGTTAAATTTTTCGTAAGCATTATTTTAATAGAAAGACTGTCCTTAGTAAACTTTTAATTTTATTTTTAACTACATAGAATTCATAAAAGTGTTACTTATTATACTTATGTTTTCATATTATATTTTAAAGTATTACTATATATTTATACCTTGCAGTTTTTCAAAGTAGGTAATAATTCATATTCTCTATTGCTATATTCAGCTGTGATTTTCCTGCTGTGTAGTATTTCATTTGGAGACTACATATAACAATTTAGTTATCATTTGTGGATAGATATTTGTGTTGTTTCTAGTTTTATTTTGTATTTTAAAGTTTTTTGCTTTTATACACAATTCTGTAATCATAATGAAAACATAATATTGAATAAATAAAAGCAACGTGCATAAGACTAGGTGAGAGCAGTCAAATAAAGCATGAAAGCAAGCAAACTTGGTTATATCTTGTCTGAGGATATACACATATATAATTAAAACTTTTTTAGTAGGAAAAGGTTAAATATAAAATTTTTGATAGTGATTATTGCTGAGGATGAGATGGAGAAGACCACATTGCTTCAATAGCATTTGTAACATCCTTCAAAAATATTTAAGATAGGTTCAAGAAGGCCCATTTAAAAATCATTTTTAACATGTAATTATTTTGTATGTATAAAATGTCAAATATTTTCAAAATTAGAAAATATATTATTACATTTGTTCTTCAAACCAACTCTGTGAGGCAGGCTGAGTAGAAACAACTTCCCTTTTTAACAGATAAGGGAAATAAGATGTAAATGATTTAAACAGGACCTAATTGATGGTGAATTTTGGAGAGGTATTAGAAACTTTTCACTAATCAATCAAGTAATCAATTCAATAAACATTTCATCCATTACTCCTCTTCTTTGTGAGACAGTACCATCCATCCAGTGACTCAACTACAAACCAGAGTCATTCATAAGGCTTCCCTCTCACTACTTCTATAACTAGTCACCAATTCTTACTAATATTATCTCCTTAATAGACTTAACGGCAACCCACTCCAGTTTTCTTGCCTGGAGAATCCCATGGACAGGAGCCTAGCAGACTACAGGCCACGGGGTCACAAGAGTTGGACTCGACTTAGCGACTTAACTACTACTACTATTACTAATAGACTTAAGTAAGTTCCTTCCTCATTATTCCCATGGCCTGACCTTTCTATCAATTCTTCTTCATTTTACCCTCAGATTGGGACAACTACCTTCTTACCTTGAATCCAATTAATAACCAGGTGCTAAGTTGCTTCAGTCATGTCCAACTGTGTGTGACCCTATGGACTGTGGCCCACCAGGCTCCTCTGTCCAAGGAATTCTCCAGGCAAGAACACTGGAGTGGGTTGCCATTTCCTTCTCTAATTAACAACTGCAGTTTTATCTAAAACAAATCCACTGTCAAGACGAAATCCAAAGTGTCCCTTTTAACATGTGACTCTGACCCCATTTCTAACATTTTTTAATGTCTCCATATTCTCTCCAGTATGAACTTGATGCTTCTCACTATATAGCACTGGGCTTCCCAGCTGGCTCAGTAGTAAAGAATCCATCTCCAATGCAGAAGACATGGGTTCAGTCCTTGGGTTGGGAAGATTCCCTGGAGAAGGAAACGGTAACCCACTCCAGTAATCGTGCCTGGGAAATCTCATGAACAGAGGAGTCTGGCGGGCTATAGTTCATGCAGTTGTGAAAGAGTTGGACATGACTTAGCGACTAATCAATAACAACAAAAATATCATAGCATTACAAAGCCTTCCGTAGCTTGTCTTCTGCAGATCCACTTCTGACTATTCCACCCACTCAGTGCCATAACCTCTTCTGACTGACATCTAGGACACAAACTCTTTTAAAGACTCTCACAGGCCCTGGGAATAATTTCTTTTGGAGATTCACATCTTATCAGACATAGTAAATCGGCATTCCATGTGAAAAGGAGTTACACATGACTATAAAAAATGTGAACCATGTTGTAGTTGACTGGTTGAAACAATGCCATGTTATACACAACTGAATTAAATCATTAATTCATTCAATATTGATTACATGGCTTCTACAGGTCAGTCTTTACTCTAAGTACTAAAACTCTTTAGTGAATAAAACAGGTATGTTTCTACTTTTGCAGAGTCTAGAAAAGTTAAGGAGACTGTGATTAAAATGAAAACACAAATTTGAAACATTATTATGGAAAATTTGACCCTGAAATTGTGTGCCTTGTTTCATTCCAAGTTTTCCAGAGATCCTGGGAAACCAGTTTGAGAAACTATACTAGATCATTGACCAATTCTCTTGTGTAAAAGAACTACTTTTACACAAAATGTGAAGTAATAGCTTACCTTGAATTTTGTTTTAACTTTCTATTTTAAAGGAGCAATACTTTTAAGGTCCAAATAAGTGGAGCCACATAGGGACTTTGCTACAATATTAAAGAATCCTGACCTTTAACACGTAAAATTATAATTCAGAATTTCTTTTATTAATTGTATCTACTCTTTGATGTACATAGCTAAAGACTTACAATTTTGCCCTCTAAGTGTGTTGTGGATTCAGCCATTGATGCAAACTGTCAGTCAGCCTCTCTGCTCCTCCTTGAGAAGGACTGTTTATATCAAATGGCCATGACATGTAACAACTGGTAGACAACACTCTGGGATTACTGCATACTGCTTAAACGAATGATTTGCCCATATTGCACCCAGAGGCTTCGAGTTTTAAGGTGGGAACATTTACTTGAAACTAGGGGAATCTTACTAATAAGTTGATTTGCTTATGATGAAATTTTTAAAAACTTGCTTTTTCAAAAAGAAGCGCCATCTCTGTCTAAATTAGTGTTAACTTTTGTCAATACCAGGCAGGGCTTTTTTTCTTTGCTTATCTCTGTATAATGTATAGATAATATATTTGAAAATTTGCTAGGGTGAATCATATAACATAAGAATGCACAAAACAAATGATCAAAATAAAATTTCTAATAGACCTTTTCTTCCTCAGATTGGTGTTCATTCCTTTACAAAGGAAGTTACTCACAATCGTCCTGAACAAACCAACTGGGGAAGCTATTAGGTATTTGCCCGCTGGTGTTAATAATTTATAAAGTAAAAGAACTAAAGTGTAATGTATACACTATTTACAGAAATCTGGACATACGGGGGGAAATATGCAGAAACGTATCTGGCACCTAGGACTTTGTTAGAGAAGGAACGGAAGCTGTGAGAGGCATGCAGGTGGGGTAGAAGGAGAATGTGACCACAGAAAAGCCAAAGCAACTAAAATATACATTCTGTTCCGGGTTGTAAATGTCAAGAATGCACAGCTGAAGAAATTCCTGAGATACCAACTCTTGAAAGATTTGTGGATTTCAGAGTGTTGATATTAAATCTAAATATGCTGGAATGAAATCCTTGCTGGATTTTTTTTTTTTTCATTTTGTGCAGTTTGGTTCCACTTTCCTGATCCATGTATATGGTATGTGATCCATATGGTATGTGATCCATAAATGTGTATTTATTAAAATACAAGAATCTTCTGTCTCTGAGTCTACTGGCTAGTATACACGTATTAGCTTTTCTACTCTGAAGAGAAAGGTAAAATCAGTGTTGTTTAAGGCAGCAATGACTTTAATGAGGGTGAGTCATAGCACTCAGGGAGGCAAACCTATTTATTTTTATTACACAACACTTTTAACTGGGACTATTTAAAAAAGGCCAAATGACAGACAGGCGCCAAGATTAGATGCATCCTCAGTAGACAGCTGGCATGCCCTGCCAGAAGGAAGATTTAGAGGAGTGTGGCTGGTAAGAAATAGCCAACAATTGGGGGAAGGGGAAGGCAGAGAAAAATAAACTCCCTGAAGAAACTAAAAAAACAGGCCACAGTAATTTCCCTCAGGACTAAAATGCGTGACATGAGCTTTTGCATTAAGTCCAAAATTTCAAGAGCAAGAGGAGCTAGGAAAGAACCAGCACCACGGGGATAATGCTGCTATTGTATTTGGGAGGCGCACATAAAAAGGTACTGAGTCCTTTCCAATCTAACTTGCTAAATGGTGTGCTATTTCTCAAAAGGAATTTGCTTCCAGGAAAAGGAAATTAAGCTTGCTTTCCTATTTCAGATTTAATTATAGTAGTGAATTTATTAACTAATCAACTAAATGCACATGGTAAAACAAACAACAAAAATCCACTTTTTTTGCACTGCAGCAAAAAGTGTATTCCAAGACTCATCAGGTGACACTACCTTGTATTGGACACATGATATCACTGAAGCAAAGTCACCATTGACCATTTCCAGAAAGTTATAATACCGTTTCTAGCTTCTTCTAAAATTGACTGTCCTTTCTATAGTTAGCCTTTCTAAGAACGTCATTCTCCTGCATTTGAATTAAAAAATAGTTTAGTGGGTAAGTTTGCATTTAGGTTTGGGGATCTTTACTTTAATACACTTTATTTGTTTTCCAGAAGCAATATAAAAATGATTGTCCAAGAAGTTTAAAATAAACAATCAGCTCCCTGGGAGCAAATGGTGTACTTCTCTGAGATATGTGCATTCCAAAAGAGGCAAGGGTATCATGCACAAAATAAACACAGGAATCAACAGCATCTTCTTGATCTGAACTACAGAAGCTGCAGGGGAAGCCGCAGTTGCAATTTTATAGCCATGCGCCCTTGGAAAGAGACAAAGCTCTGCCAGGATATCCTTAGCGATGTGGTGGAGGGTGGGGGTGGGGAGTGATGCTTTGTTATTATCAGGAATGGATAAATTGCCTGGAACTCAATAAGTGTTGAAATAATAAAGAATGACTTTTGATATGGCCGTTATGAATAATTCTGCACAGTACAAAAAATTGCTACAAATAAAGTTAATTATAGAGATATACAAAAGTTTTCTAGTATGTTGAAATTTGTATAGTTGTATTGTCTCAATTAGGATTTAGGGAAAGATTGAGGAAATAAAATGGTGAAAATAAAATAAAGTGATCTTTTAAAAAATTAAAGCATAAGAGATGTTTATTATATCACACGATGAATTTCTAATTCAGAACTACTTAGAGAATAATTTCTTTGATATGTATTTTTCTTATATATGTTGTATCTTAATGTATAATTTATATGCTTTTAACAACAAGCAAAATTAATCTCTAGAAGTTAAAAATTATATAAAAACAATATAATAATTCTTAAACTGATTTTCTGATACATGAATGGTATGTCAATGATTTTACCAAAGACTAAGATTTTGAGACTCTACATCTATTTAATACATAAAACAACAGATTTGTAGCCCAGAAGCACACTGATTTAAATTTACAGGGACATTTCCTTAAAAGAAACAAGTTCATGGTCACTTTGTATGTGGATATTTGGCTCTTCAGACAGTCTCTCAATAAGTACGGGGAGAAAAAAAGACAGAACTTAATTATTGTTTATTAAAAACCCTTTAGTTTCCTGACATAAGTGTTGCTGGGGCCCAAAGTAAAGTGAAGAGAGAAGAAAGAGTGAAGAGGAGGATGAGAATAGAGAGAGGACTTAAAGAGAGCATCGTCTAATTGATGGGAAATGGCTAAGGAATGTGAAAGAATAGGGTCTGATCCCGGACTAGAAATCATTTATTATGCAAACCTGAAAAGAATAAACCTTGTCTCTGACTCCAGAGTTTGGTACAGACATTGCCTTTTATATGACAATTTAGAATATTTTATATACAGTATAGTAAAATGAGCTTTGGACTGACAAATATTTTTGACATGTACTCGATGCTGTTTTGGAAACTTTATTATGAAAAATCGCAGTAACATAAAAAGGGGAGATTAATGAAGTTATCACTTTATTTTTTTTTTCATTTATTTTTATTAGTTGGAGGCTAATTACTTTACATCATTGCAGTGGTTTTTGTCATACATTGAAATGAATTAGCCATGGATTTACATGTATTCCCCATCCCGGTCCCCCCTCCCACCTCCCTCTCCACCCCATCCCTCTGGGTCTTCCCAGTGC